TACTGTTTTATCAGCTTATGTAGAGCTAATAAAATTGCATTTGTAAAACATTCTTATTCTAAGCAGATTTCAACACAAGCTAAACAAGACACGTGCACATTGTCCACCATCAGCATTCATGAGCTGCTGTTCAACTTGGTAATTAGCCAAATAAATTAAGATTGTGATCATCAGTGATCACGTCATATCGCACAGGAAAAGTCAACAGTAAACACTTGGAACCGAGACTAATTGCCATCTCCTTTGGGACAATTAACAGCAAGTAAATACTGGTTGTACAGTAGATCCCCACTTGAGTTCAGGAATTCAAGAAATATCTCAGTACTTATAAAACTATAGGTGTTAAACCAACAGATCTTAGAAATGGTGATGGTTCGTTGATTTCACGCCAACTCTTTCTCTCTCTGTATCTCTCTTTACTTCACGCCCAGAGGAAAGCAAAAATATTGTCAGAGTCATATTACATTGTAGACATGTACGGCTTTGCCTCCAGGGATTTGTTGCACATTTTCTCTTAATGTTTACCTCTGCCAAGGAGGTTATGTTTTCGCCCCTCTCCATTTTCTTGTTTGGTGGTAAACAGGATTATGCAGAAATCTACAGAACAGAGTTCACAGAACATAGTGGAAAGATGGTGCCTGGACCAAAAAAGAACCGTGGATCCACACAAAGAAAGAGATCGAGGATTTTTTTCCCAGAGAGTGACGCATTGATCTTGATAAAAACCATATGAAAGGGACTGATTTCTCTGATGCAGTTTATTGGATGTAAGCTCTACTGAGTGCCATTCTAATCACTGAATTCTGATGATTGTTCTAGTTATTCCAGAACTGTCGTAGTTTCCACTGATACGTCATCATCAAAAGTGAATTTATATTAGTTTTTTTTATCTCTTGGTTGCAGTCCTCTTTGTTTAGTTTTTTTTAATCCAAAGCATCGTGCAATTCCCACATATGCATTCAGTCATGCTTCAGCCAATGCTCATGAAGATCTACTGAGAATTATCACACAACTTTAAAGTCATACTGAGTGTTGTAGCCATTCAGCTCATTATTTGTGCCTGCAGATTTACTGTATTTATTTATCTAGTGCTCATATGAAGAACTACAATATAAAGAACTACAATATGGACTTGCTAGCTTCCAGGTAGTAAATGAATTAATAACTTACCAGTCAATCAATCATGGATGGGCTTCCCCGTCTCCCCCCCAACTGTGTGTTTACATTCTTCATTCAATGCGACAGAGTGTGAGGCAGGAAAAAGAGATCGGGGCAGAGTTTGCATTTGCTTTCCCAACAGGAGGCTTTGATTAGATGTACGGTATCAATCACGGGTGAAGCTGCTGCACTGACTGAGAATCAGTCAAACCAAGTGTATATTCAAAAATAAGGGGGAATATGAAGATGTTAACATCAGTGTATTAATTGGAGTGAGCAAAATAAACAGGATGAAAACAAAGATGTTGAGATGAATCTGCTCAAAAATACATCTTTAATCAGATATATCAAACATAGACCACCAATGGAAAACACTGTAAAAAATTGAAACCTTGCAAAACATGTCCATTGTATAATCCTGAACCTACACAACATGGCAAAGAAATGCACAACAATCCTGTCTGTTAAACTCATTTAAAAGTTTGCCCTTTGATTAATTACTTCCACTGAGAGGTGAGCTCATCTAACCTCCTGCCCCTTGGTTGCATAATTGCATCAGCCAATCACGGACAAGCTAAAGCACACAGCTCAACCCTTGAGGAAACGTTTTATTATATTGTATAATGGTACTCGCCTGCTCTTTAAAGTGTATGACAGGTTGGTTTTATTTTTTTATACTTTAAATAGTTGCGTATTGAAAACACAGCCTTGGGCCTGTTCCACTGGCTCCTCAATAATGCACCATTAAACTCCTCATTTTCTTATTTATTCTGCTCCTGAGGCTCGGGTAAATTAATGGGTGCTTAATGCCAGGGCTCTGTTTGGTATGCCCGTGGGTTTTCTTATGTGTATAATATACAGTGGTGTTGGATAGAAAACTGTGTAGGAACATTATTTCAGAGCCTCTGTATAGATACCAACATGATCTGCAATTTGTTGTGTATATGCTTGCGATACTGACAGTAGAGACAAAACAATTTCACTTGGCAAAGACCAGCTGACACCCTTAGACTTTGCCGTCTTGTAAATACTGGTAAAGGATGCAGGGAAAATCCAAATCTTTTTTTTAAGCAGCTATTCGTGGAGGAGCTCAACCTGTGGTCAAACCAGAGATGTCTAACTCAAGGTCCGCGGGCCACTTCTGGGAAAAGAAGAAATTATTGATTTGTTTGATGGACCCTTATTTTCACAACTTGCCAGATTTCCAGAGATAGCAGTTCTATTTGTGAGGTCAGCAGCGGCACCTTTTCCTTCAGATACTGCATCATGACAGTCAAGCTGAAAATAAGGTTAAACATAAGTGTCTGTAGTGGAATGCAACTGAGAAGCTTCTATTACAGGAATATCAAGATATGTTACACAGTAACACTGAGTTCTACAAGTTACATAATGTTTAGGAAGGTGTCTAAGTTTTTACAAGTACACAATTGAGAGGAAGTATTTCTGATCTGAAGTCAAGGAACTCTGGGTTGTAAGCTAATGATTTTTACTCCATTTAATGACACAGACTGTTGATTGGATATAGGAGTAAAATCCTGCCATGTTGTAACAGTCACGGCTCAAAGTGAAGGAGGATCCCCAGGTCTACATCATCAGATATGGGATGGAAGGGATGCAAACTGCAGTGCAGTCTGGGAGCTGGATGCCCGCGGCAAGCTCTTATATCCTGGCAGTGAGGGATCCAGCACTGCAGTGAGACTGGGACAGGAGCTATGGCATCACATCAAAGAACAGGAGACCAGG